AAAAAAAAAAAAAAAAGAAAGGAAAGAGAACGTGTTTTCCAATCGTACAGAAACTGCTTTATGCTGGAGTTCAGCAGTTGCCCTTCGTGGCCCCTTCATGAATGTCCCTTAGCGCACGTGACCCCAAGGGCGAAGCTGGTGTCCGATCGTAACGACGTGTTTGCTGTTTGTTGTCTCCTGCAGGAATGGAAGACCTCATGAGAGGGGCTCAAGAACTCGAGAACATCCTCAAGCAAGGATACTTAGAGAAGAAAAGCAGAGGTACCGATCGGATCCATAGATCTCCCACGTTCCAAGAAGGGAAGGGAAGCAAATAAAGAGAAAGAGGACTAATACACTGGGTGTGTTCTGTGCCCCACACTGTGGTAGGCAAGTAGCAGGCCAAAACAACAAACAAAGAAGAGAGAGGACTCAAAATCTTCAGTGCACAAACCCGATTATTAACGTCACGGGGCCAGAGATTGGCTTACTCTGTTCTTTCCTGTCACCCGGAGCCTGACCCACAATAGGTATCTGATAAAGACTTATTGAATGAGTGAAGGAGGCTATTCTTGTCCTCACCTCTCAGTGCATGCCCATAAGAGTGCAGTTTTTGAATCGCAGATGAAGCAGCACCCTTCCAAATTTCAGACGAGCCCAGATCCGAGCTCTGGGCACATTTGATTAGCGTGGGGTTGGCGGTTCAAGTTTGACCCTGACGGGGCGCATGGGCTTAGCACGGACAAAGCCTTTGTCATGGCCATGCCGACAGCGGCACGTTTATCAGCCAAAAGACAGATGCATGGAGAATTTGAAAAATGCAGGGTGAGCGCAGAATCTGAACGATAGACACAGGCCTTCAAAAAGTTCACAGAAAATGGAATTAAACGAGTCTGGAGTTTTTTAAGCCGCCACCTCAAGGAAGTGAACGGAAGAGACAGCTGTGAGGGGCAGAGCAGGCAGCCCTGTTCAGAAGTTGGACCTTTAATGGAGGTAGTCCTCTGGACTCTGAATCAATACGGGCTCACCTGTGGGAGTGAAAGGGAGGGTTTTACAGTCCATTAACCCTGGAAATAAAACAATAACACGCTGGACTGGGTGTTGTTGGATTTTACAGACGCCTCAGTCACTGTAGTTACCTGAATTTATGTCCCCAACTGCTGTTCTGTTCAGATCACAGTTTCTTCGGATCAGAGTGGCACAAGCGATGGTGTGTTGTCAGCAGAGGCCTGTTCTACTACTACGCTAATGAGAAAAGTAAGTGCTCTTCATTTGCACACAGCAGCATCCCACTCCTGGATGCAAGCACTTCGTAAATTTTCAAGCACTTAGAGCTCGAGGTAACAGTCCTTTAACTAACACTCATGAAAGAACCTGCTTGGGGAAGAAATAGCAATGGGTAAAGAAGCGCTTCCCTAGCACCAAAACCCCAACGATCAATGTAAAAACGTATTTCACTATGAAAGACTGTTAGTGCAGTCAGCATAGCAAGCGGTTATCTCCTATTAGGACTAATGACACAATATGATCACATTTTAAAGACAAGAACTTTGAACGAACACTTTATAGTCATTATTAAGACCGCTCAAATATTGGGAAGAAATAATTCAGAAAAATTTAAATGACTTACCTACTTTCCAGAAATAGATCCCTACAGTCCCTATTCTCGAAGCGCATGCTCCCAATGACACCCTACTGACCACATCCCAGTGGACATCCCGAGAGCCAAATGGTTCCTGTGCCCAGGAGACAGCCTTCAGCCAGATGGCAGCAGCAGGAAGTGTTGACTCAGGGAAGAGCCAGCTTCTTAATGAGCTACCACTGACTCAGTCAAGCACAGCACTCATGAGCTAGCCCTAGAAGACCTCCCATTCATATTTAACACTGTTGCTTAGCTTGTGAAAACAGAACCTATACGCACAAATTGAAGGCAGCTACAAAAAAATACAAGCCGGAAATGATCCTGGTGCATCAGAGAGGACAGACCCTTCTGCAAAGTTGGGTTGCCCAGGAATCATTCCAAGAAGCAAGACCAAGTAGCCAGTCCATTCTTACGGGGCCTTCCCTAGGCTCTGCTGCCTTTGTAAAGAGGCCAGTGATCCAGCGAAGACCCTTTTTCTTCTAATCATTTCCTGCCCACCCCCTATCCTTTCCCCAAATGTTTCATCTCCCAATACCTGTGTATTCGGTCTAGGAACATCTTAATCACACACCTCTCCTCTCCATTCATTTATCTTTGGATCTCTTGTACCTTCGGCACGAAGGCAGAGCAGAGAACGGCCGCTCTGCTGAGTGACTTCACCCAAGAGCCAAGCACTGCAGTCGAGTCCATGCCAACTCACAGTGACCCTATAAAGCAGGGTGGCACTGCCCCTGTGCGTTTCCAGGGCTATAAGCCTTTACATTTTCTCAGAGCAGCTGGTGGTTTTGAACTGTTGACCTTGTGGATCCCAGCCCAACACATAACCACTACACTACACCACCAGGGCTCTAGCTCTATGGCAGTTGTCTCACCCCAGCTCTCTACTGGCAAGAGCAATCACTGACCTTCAACTTTATATCCCTCGGAGCCTCTTCCACCTCGGCTAAAGGGAACAATCGACTTGCGCGTGTCAGCAGCAGAGCTAGACAACTGAGAAGAGTCCCTTTTGCCCTCCCAACCCTAGCGCCTTCTCGACTCCTGCCACCATCATTTCTGCTCAGAATCCTATGCATACAAGCAAGCCAGGGGTTGCTTGGTTTGTTCTCATCTTTAAACTAATCTGGCATTTGTACGGGGTGAAAATATTCATCGGTCCCTGTGTATTTCAATAACGGGGTGACGGATCTGGACAGAAGACCAGTTATCACGTCTGTTCATTCAGAACCTTTTACTCAGGTAAGCGCGAGAGCAAGAGCGAGCGACTAGGAGACTTTTATTGACCATTTTTGCCGTCAGGGTGAAATAAAATCTGGTGACCAAAGAAACAACAAAACACTTTAGTGGCCAGTTAGGACAAGGAGAGATATTTTAACAAAAAAGATGCTGGTGTCAGAAAGCACTGTTGCCTGGCTCCCTTCTCGCCACTTACTTCTTACTGTGCCCTGGACATTTCCTTACTAGATACAGAGTGTTGGTGTATTTCTTCCAGCTCAACCAGGTAAAGACAGAGCCTTTTCTTTTTTTTATCGTTTTATTAAGGGCTCATACAACTCTTAGCACAGTCCATACATGCATCAATTGTGTCCAGCACATTCGTGCGTATGTTGCCCTCATCATTCTCAAAACACCTGCTTTCTGCTTGAGCCCTTGGTGTCAGCTCCTCATCTTTCCCCTCCCTCCCAAGACAGAGCCTTTTCCCATTAAAACAAACAAACAAACAAAAACCTTGTAATCCTACTGCCATCCTTACCATTACTGTCAAAAAGCATTTATTAAACAATCTATTCTGCATGTTATAGGGCAGACATCACCCAACTATTGTGGTTCCTGGCCCTTATATCTTCTGCTGCCTAAGTAACATTATAAGGACCCCAAATCCTTGAGGGTTACCTCCTCGATTCCTGTTTCTCAAATATGTATAGGGGTGTGTGTGTGTGTGTGTGTGTGTGTGTGTGTGTGTGTGTGTTTAAAGGGGTTAAAGCGGAGACTTCTCTCCTTCCCTCGCGTCTTGTCTCTCTCTTTCCTCGTCACCTGCTAATATTTAACATCGCTCCGCTGCTTCCCAATCTGACCTCTTGAAAGGAGGATAAAAGACTCCATTTCAAATTCTTAAATTAGCTTAAGTTTCCATTAAGTGTTCACCTAAATGATAGGGGGAGAGGGGAGCAGTTCAGCCCAAATTCCACAGAGGGTGTGGGGGGTGTTCGAGAATGCTCAGTGCCCCCCGCGCCCCATGCTGCTGTCCTCCCCCTCGGATAGGAGCTCGGCTGGCCGGGATAATAACACTTCAGCTTTGTAATAGCCTTCAAGAGCCTCACATTTACAGCCACACTCTCCCGGCTGCAATAATTCCTTCTTTCTGTTATTATAGATCTCTTAACATTCTAATAAATTCTCCGTCTCTGCTGTACTCTTTTGGCAAAACAACGTTCCGTGTTGCATTTCCCTAGCTTGGCAGTAATCTCTGGGTTGCCGTCGCAGTAGCCTCTTCTTCCGCTTCCCTAATAACCTTGCCTTGACTGGTGTGGGTCCTTGGGGACGGAACAGCTGCTTCCGTGCTTTACTTTCACATCCCAGAGAAGATGCCTTCCCTTGGCAGCTGCATCTCTCTAGGGATACAGGGAGCTCTCTTATCTTGCAGGCAAGCAGCCCAAAGGGACCTTTCTCATTAAGGGCTACAGCGTACGGATGGCCCCCCATCTGCGAAGAGATTCCAAGAAAGAATCCTGCTTTGAACTGACCTCGCAGGACAGACGCAGCTATGAGGTAGGCTGAAGGGAGGCGGGGTGATTGTCCTTGGAGTGGCATGGGAGCCATGCTGGCTACGCCGGGTTCCAGCCTGTCTTGGCTACTCGCATTTCTTACCGATACAGACTCCTGACTCCACATCTTCAGCTTTCCTATAGCCTACCCATCTTCTCCTCTCTGTTGCCACTCTCATCCAGGAGACTGACTTTATTTGGCTTCCACCTGTTCCTCCCTCCCCTTCTTAGTCTCACTCCATAGGTGAGTGAGATTCTGGCTTATTAGAGCACCCAGTCCAATTCCTGATTCAGTGCCTCTGATTTCTGCCTCTAATTCTCATTCTCTTTATTTTTCAACGAGTCATCTTTTGTCTTTCTGTGAAATTCAGAAAAAGATAACTGTAGGGCACAACATAATTGATGCTCCCCTATTCATCTTGTTATCCAAAATTACCTTCCTATAGCCAGTTATTCCTAAAATGCATTGCACAGCCTTGAAAGGATTTCTCAGCCCTTGGTGACAATGGTCACTCAGTAGTAACAATAGAAACTGAGGGGCTAGAGAGTGGGGGGTAGGGGGGAGGAAAGACTTATTTCTCATTGTATTCTGCTTCCTACATTTCGTAATCTTCACCTCATACACATATTACTTATTTTTAAATTAAAACAATGCAAATTTCTGACTACAGTGATTTTTACCAGAATTTTCCTTTTTTTCTTTTCTCTTTTTTTTGGGGGGTGTGGGGTGCGGGTATATGTCTCAGAGTTTTCAAAATGTTTGTGGGAAAATGGATTTTCCCACAAACTTTAGACGCCCCCTCATATATGTATATACACATTCGTTACCTGCCTATTGGTAATTTTTATCTTATTGCAATTTGGAACATAGTCAGCTATGATGACCATGTTAACATTAATTAATATTAATCCCTCAAGTAGCCTGCAGACTCCGCACGTTTTTATCAGCATCCAGCTTTTCGTGTTTCTAGAATAGTTAACTCTTATGTAGATAAAATAACCTAGGTCTTCATTAAGCAATTTTTTAAATGTTCAAACTTTTTAACAGTCCTTTAGAGATATACAAAATCCAGATGGATGCTATGGGCAGGTTGCTAGGTTATTCTATTTTTAAACTTTGATGGTACCTCATCTAGATAAAAGTTTGTATGACGAGTCTAATTTCCCCAAAATTTTCATAGGAATCCGTTTTCTAAAAACTAAGAATGACAAGGTATATTAATAAGCATTTAGCCAAAAGCTAGGTCTCTTATACAGCGTGCACTTTTTATCTTACCCTGATGGCTAGATGCTAAAAATGTTTTGGTCTGTTTTTTGGGTTTTTTTCAGTAACAGTTGTTTCAAGTTGATTCATTTAAACATCAAAGAATAAGTCAGGGCTGATGCTTGAATGGCTGGTTCTGTGAATCAAAATGTAGAGTTTGTTTACTCCTTCTTTTCTTTGGCCCATTGAGTCCAAATCATTACCATGGTCTGTAGCGTCTTCCCTGCAATTCCCTTTGGATCTTGCTCATCTTCTTTATCCCCACCACCATCACAATAGTTAAGTCCCTACCACTTCACCCAGAGGACTAGTTACCCAGCCTCTTAGTCCGTCTTCTGTCTCCAATGGCTTCCTGTCCCAGTCTCTCCTCCCCATGCCTGTGAAAAGAAGCCCCCGCTCTTTCACGAGAATTTCCAGTAGCTTCCTCTTCCCTACATTTTAAGCCTGAACTTCTAGTCCTCAGAGCCCTTCTACCAACTCCTCTCTGACCCTCAACTCTCCTGCTTCCTCTGGCTTAGACTTTAGTCAGGCAGCCATGCCTGCGTTCTCATTCCTGTTCCTTTGCACATGGCTCTCCCTGCCGACCTGTCCAGTGCCCCTCTGCGTTACGTTTCCACCGCTTCTTTTCTAACCCAAGAAGCACTGCTTCAGTAACCGCTGTGACCGATCCTAGGCAGCGGCAATCACTCCCTGTCTCCTGCCCACACTCAGTTATTATCAAATGCACCTGCTTGGTAGCGTTCCCATTTCATGGATGTGTATTGTCTCTGTACCTGAAGCAGTATTCTTTGAAGCCAAGAGCTTTGATTTGGTTTGGTTCGTGTTTTCCTTGCTGCAGACCTTTCTCAAATAAATGTCTGCTGGATGAACAGGTGATCAAATGGACGAGCTTCCCTACCTGGTGTCGCTCAGGTAGTTGTAGCTCTGGATGTTCAGGTTTGCTGAAGAAACTAAGACAAGTATTGGGTCTTTTTTCTAAATATTCAGTAGGCAGAGAACCCTGAGCTTTAAGTTCGATCATGAAACTCAACTCACGTCTTTCCTCCCCTTAAACTCCCCTATCAGTATTATGGAAATGTTAGAGAAGTTAATAAATTAACTCGCTGATTTTTCTCTAGTTCACAGCCTCTAATCCAGCTGAAGCCAGAGACTGGGTGGATCAGATAAGCTTCTTGCTAAAGGGTAGGTGTCATTTTTATAAGAATATTCTTGAGGGCATGGGGGAGATGCTCTATTGGTATGGCGGTGATTTTACAATTCTCCTTGATCTGATTGAACGATTGAAAATTGTATGATATGTAAACGACAGGCCAATAAAACTGCTGGAAACCACCACCCCCCCACCCCGCCCCAACCCCAAAAAAGGATACTTCTTGAGCGGGTTTTCAGCTGAAGTAATACTGCATAAATATCGTTTATAAGCTTCAATACATCCTATTGTGCCATTTTTTCCTTCCAACTTCCCACCATATCTCCCGTATTTTAACAACAGTGTCATGTCTGAATCAGAAGGTAAAGAAATCGCCAACCTGCAGATGACCTCCCGATATCATTCTAGCTCATTCACCTGCCTTCAGGAAAGACTGTAATATTTGCAGTCACTAGAAAACTCTGAAAACCAGCTTAACCTAAGTCAAGGTCTGCCAGTCCCTTAAAATTCATGCGAGATCAAACGTCAAGTCATCTTGGGGTTGCAATTGGGGTCCGACATCATCTTGTTTTAGTCTTGGTAGGAAAGAAAAATATCCACTAATTTCACTGGCCTTCAGAGGCATTTGGCTATTAAAAAGTATATTGCTGTTTCCCAAACCCTTTCATTCCCAATCCTTTCTTTGAGGTGGGAAGAGTCTTGCCTGACCACGTGAAATGACTGCTCTTAGAGCACCCTCTGCTGGCCAGTCTGCAGGCACAGCAGTGACGGTGGCCAAAGGAGCATTGCCTGGGAGTGGCCTGGCAGAGAGAAGTAGCCAATCTTGAGCGTGTCACTCGTATGCCACTGCGGCAGAACCCTGCCTCCACGGAGAGGTGGGAAGGCCAACTTTGTACCTAGCCCAAGACCCAGGGATAAGATGCCTTCCTAAAAGCCCCAAGCCTCTTCATCTCCGCTTTCTATTTTGCTGTAAGATTTTATGGTGGGTAAAGAAGAAAGAAGCACCAGAGCTTTAATTACAAGAATTGCCTATTTTACTCAGTTATGTTTTTGTTCTCACAAAAACAAACTATTGCATCTACCAAGAGCATCACGTATAATGGACTGGAACTAGGCAAACATGAGCATTGATGGCAAGACTACAGGGTACACTCTCATCTAGGTGCCTTGGATTTATGCGTGTAATATCCCCCTAAGTGTGTAAACCTCAATAAAACTCAAAGCAGCTTTATTGAGCTGTACCCTGTGGTACTTTCAGCATCCCACATTGAAGAAATTATTCATTCCATTTTATTTTTAAACAAAAATAATAATAACATATGGTTGAAGCCACAACTGTAGCTCTGATCCTTTCCTCATACAAGGTGGCACCAGAACTCAGATGAAAATTGCTGCACTGTCTTTATTAAAAGCCTCATCAAGCCAAACAGTTTCATTGTATTTTGCAATGAGCGTTGGACGCCTCTCCATCCTGCCCTTCCCTCGAGTACGCGACTGTACTTGCCCATCCTGCCGAGGCGCCTCTGAGGGGTTTCAGAGAGCACTCTGTACTGCACTTCAGAGCATGCACCTTCCCCATGCCCCATTAAAACAAAACACCAATCCCCCTCTTCCCTGGTGCTCCCCAGTGCAGCCATGGCTCCACATCCTCGATGCAGTGACCCACTTTAAGGTCAGCCAGACTGTATAGTTGCAAAAGGCCATTGTGACTACCTCGCTCGGTCCTTCCATTTGGTCTTGTACTAGACTGCTCCGTTTTTTCTCCTTCCCCACTTTCTTTGGGTTTGGGTCCATTTTTCTCGTTACAGAGAAACTTGTGTGAAACTCTGCTGTGAGATTGTGGAGGAGCAGGGCGTCTGACAGCTCAGACGCCTGACCAGAGCCACCACGCCCCCCCCCCTGCACCCGGGAGACCCACAGGCCATCACTCACTCTTCCAGTATTCCACTTGACGAGCAGTGCATGGCACGCTGGTATTTCCTCCGCTGGCCTATTTTCTCCCCTTCACCCCGTGTTCTCATTCACACACCCATACTTCTCAGGGCTGCTCCATCCTGATCAAGTTTTATTGCAAGAAAGGATTTATGTTGATGGTTTAAACCTGCGCAGTGCTGGCCTGGCCTTTTCTGTAGATTTCCTGCCACCAAGGCCCGTATTAGAAATAACAGCACTTAACCTAGTGTTTCATTTTCTTTTGACATGTTTTATTCCAATCCCTCCTCCTCCTTCCCCTTCTTCCCTTCCCAGCCTTATTCTTTTATTTCCCTCGATTTTGATTCATTCTCATCTTTGCCCTGGCAGATCTGAGCTCCTTAACCATTCCATGTGAAGAGGAGGAAGAGGAGGGGGAGGAGGAAAAGGAAGAAGGAGAAGAGACCTACGATGATATCGATGGCTTTGATGCCCCCAATCCTGGCTCCCAGGGCAGACCCGTCATCTTGCCTGGCGGTGTGGGGATCCAAGAGTCTGCGGAGGAGAAAGAAGAAGAAGATATTTATGAGGTCTTACCAGGTGAGAAATTGGATCTTCTAATTGTCGTCTGCTCATTTCAGAAACGTATGGCCTGTAGAGGAACATGACATTGACAACGCCAAAGGAAGCCACACCGAAGGCTCACCTGCTGCAGGAGAGAAGGCTGGGAAGCTTTAAGGGCACTCCCACAATCCTCTGCATAGAAGTGCTCCCCTGCTCTGGGAGCAGGGTGGGTTTGACGAATGGGTCTCTTTCGTCTGTGCCATACAGAGTAACTTCTGAAGCATGGAGACAGAGTGAAGCATCATGTTGGAGTTCATGAGCTTACTGTGAATCTGAGATGAGTCACCCAAACTCTCCTTTCTGTGTAGTTAGGGGAATAATGGAAAGTTGCTCCAAAATTATGAAGGCCATCAAAAGTCTGTCGGAATACACATCCATCCCAGTCACCTTTCCAGTAGCCCAAACTCTGCTGGCGTACAGTCTATTACGCCCTTGCTCAGACAAAACCACAAATCACATCACGTCTCTTAAAAATAACCCTGACATGTTTTCTCTGGCTGCCACAACAGCAGGCCTACTGAATACGTTGCCTTTTTTCCCCAGAGGCATGACTGGTGTCTCAAAACACGTACTGTCATCACTGCTTCCGCATGGCCACTCCTGGTGGGGGTAAGAGCAGCTGGTGAACAGTGCAAAGCACAGTGGGGGTCAGACAGGGAAACTGAAGCCTGAGCCTTTTAATTGTGAGGTCGTTAGACCACGGGAATGCTGAATCTCCCAGTCCTTTCAGTAAGATCGCTCCTGTGGAAATTCGCCAGGAGTTCAGTGTTCTGCTGAGAAACTCAAGTTAAGCCTAAATTTATAGCGCTTTAACCCTCAATCCCAGGTGAATTTAGGAACCAAGGTGAAGCCAACACTCCTGAAGACTGGGCTGGTTGCTAAAAGCATCCTCAGTCAGCTAGGGGCATCTGGAGGCCTTCTGAGGGCCTAAGGAGAGGGTCCAACCCTCTCAGACTGGACTTATCTCTTCCCTCGGGGAGAAGCCACAGCGTGGCTTCCTGAACCAAGGAGCGGGGGCTCTTTTCTGGGGCCACATGTCTCCTCCCTGCTGGGGACCTCCGACCACCAGCCACCGAGCGGGCTTCTCCTAGCACTTCCCGCCTCTGCCAGTGGCCACTTCTCCAGCCTTTTTGTTGTGTTTTATTATGCAAATAAGATCTTGGTTGAGGTCGAACCATTTCTTGTGTCTGAAGTTAAAAAAAAAATGATAATTTCCTCAGCAAGTCATCGTCGTTAATGAAGTTTTACAAAAACAGATACAACCAAAGGAAAATAAAATTTCACAGGTGATAAATTTTTCCAATTTCCCTGGCAGAATTCGATAGGATTGTTAAATTAAGAGTGAAGGTGTCTGTTGGAAAGCAACGAGCAGTGATGGGTAATTTTATAGAGTGGAAAATTGAATCAAATTGCTACATTAAAACACAGCTCCTCTGAGAATCTTCCCTTTCACAGTCGGCTCCATTGCAACAGCAGGGTGCAGAAATGGATCTAACTCACAGCACTCTCTCAAAGGAGATGCACACCCCCACTCGGCCAGACTCTTAGTAAGCTCTCTGTCCACTCTCTCCCGCCCAGGCTTGGGGGAGCCCGGGCTGGGGGGTGGCGGGGGGGACAAGCCACTCTGGGTTTTGACAGTGGCAGAGGGCTCTGGGCAGGGCTCACTGGACCTCTCGGTCTTCTGGGGTGCCGAGAAAGGCCTTTCATTTGCCACTTTGATACCTCAAAGGATGCTTGCCTTCTCTGCCACTCAAAGAAGCAGAGCCACAAAGAGAATGGCAAAGGAAAGAGACCCCCAGAATAGAGTTTGGGACCATCACTACTCCAGGTGGGAGCTCTGTTATAGATGATTGGCTTAGCAACCCTCCTCCTCCCACCTCTCAAACCGTCCTCCGCCAATGCAGCTCTGGAGGGGAGGGGATCAGCGTAGCCCTCCAAAAGCCACACCCATTTATCATGTTGGGGTAGACCCCAAGTCCTGCAGGCTAGTCTGCTTTCTTGAAGAAAAGCCACTGTCCCTGTCTGCATATCTGCCCCCTGCAAGGGGGGGAGGTCACCCGGTAAGAAAGCCAGGGCCTCTTTCTACAAGTTAACAGCACAGAGGCGACCCGGCCTCCGGAAGTTTCCAAAGGACAATGCTGTACCCAGCCCACATGTTCTTTCCTAAAAGCCTCTGTCCATCACAGCTTTTAGAGAAAGCTTGGGCACTGGGAGGGATTGGCATTGAATCACGTTATGAATATTTCGACTGCAAGTCTTTATCACCCTCATCCACTCCGCCCCGCTGGTTGCTGCTGAAACGGCCTTCAGAGTTTTGCACATGCCATATCGAAAGCCATAGAGGAACTGAGAGAGGACGTAAGAGGGCCTGACACCTCTCCCTTGGCTTGCTTCGCACGACACCACCCGTCCCCGCACAAAGTGGTGGCAGATGGGACACAGCCTGGGATCCCAGGTGGAAACACCTCTCCGGAGCCGGAAGGGGTCGGTCTGCTGTGCCGCTCGCCGGCTGTGAGACTTGGAAGCGCATGCAGTGCTTCTCTTTGTGTGATTTTCCCACCTGTAAAATGGGAAGAATAATAGTAGCTACCTTACAAGGGTGCCGCGAGGAGCCTAGAACGGGGCCAGGAAAAACCCTTAAAATCATGCTCGAGTGTACAGCGTGCATTCGGTGAAGGGCAGCAGTGAAGGAGGCCTTGGGCTGCTCACCACAAGGTCAGCGGTCCAAACCCAAGGCCACTCCTCCGGAGAAAGAGGACGCTATCTGTTCCTGTAAAGATTTGCAGCCTTGAAACTTCGATCTAGGATCACGATGAGTTGGAAGCGGGTCAATGGCAGCGGTATTCTACACGGTATTTGGGGGGATGCTTAAATAGGACCTGAGGCAGTCCGTTTGAACATTTTCAGCTACATGTATGAAGCAGGTGAAACTGAAAATCCTGAGCAGATGGAACGTAGAGCACACCTTCTGCTCAGGCCCATTTTTGCTGCCAGGCCAGGTGCTGGGTGGCGGGGCAGCCAGAAAGTCTGTGTTAGCATTGCACACCCATCACTAATCCCATGGCTGTGCCGCTGGCTTTACTGTCACAGGTGGATGTGCTCTGTGGAAAATGGTGAGCTCCCGCGGGCCTGCTAATCCTTCCTCTTTGCGATGGGGCTCACACACGCCCTCACTGTCTCTGTCAGGAAGACCAGGTGAGCGAGATCTCCCTTCCAGAACATCATCGGGACGAGCTTCTGAGTAGAAGGAAAAGTGCCTGGAACACACAGCAAGTCAATAAAATATTATTTTTCCGAATCAAGATAATGTATAGGCCCTCAAATGAAGCACATTCATCACGGGGTCATGAGCCACGTGGCTGGAACGCTCCTCCCCAGGTTTTCAGCTGGACCACAGAACACGGGTGTCTGGGTTGGCATCTGGTAGACCCTCTGAGCCTTTGCGTTGAGCATCTGGGGCCCCTTGATTTTTAAGATCTCATTTGCAGTCGATTAAATTGCTGAGAGCTACCACAAAGAAACGCTAAAGCAATATGGAGACAATTGGAAGCTCTTCTCAGCCCATCCTCACCCCCCTGAAGTTATTTTACAGGCCAGCACAGCCCAGTTTCATGATCCAAGATTCCATAAAAGGACAATTTTTATCGGGTTTTTCTTTGTCTGGGACCTTGAGACTGGAATCCAGCGAGGCGCTGGGGGCCCTTGAGGAGCTGTAACAGAGGACCTAGCAGCAGCTGCCCTGGCAACAGAGATTCCAGGGGAATGTCTGTGCACATCCCAGTGCTGCCCACCTGTCCTGGGGGGGTGCTTATCATAGACCCCAAACCCAGATTGCTCTATAATAAAGCACGTAGCTGTGGTTTGGTTTTTAATTTGCATCCAATGGAAATAAGCATTCTGTGGGATTCTTCTTCCCCTGGACAGCTGTCCAGGCCCACAAGTGGTTGATGGGAAGGGAGGGGGGGGGCGAGCAACAGATACCGAATATGCAAAGTTTATGAAGAAAGCAATTTCCAATTTGATAGAAAAGCAGCAGTCCCTGAGAGGAGCATTACCAGGCCTTTTCTCACCCTCCCTTCTCAGCACCCCGGCCCTAAGTCACACAGGACCTGAAGTGGATTCAGGCCATGTCTTCGACCTGGAAGTGGATTCAGGCCACGTCTTCGACCTGGAAGTGGATTCAGGCCACGTCTTCGACCTGGAAGGCTCTTCCCTAGTCCCAGCCCATGACGTCCCACACATCTACCCCACTGTGTCTCTTCAGGGACACGTCTGAAATACTCAGCTAGAGTTAAGCTTGCTTGGAGCCCTGGCCACAGTTATTGGTGGGTCAGGCTCTCCCATCTCAATCAGTGTGTGCTCGATTCTCACTGGGAGACCTTGCGTGGTGCAAACCGTTAACCTCACTCTGAAAGGTGGCTGGTTCAAGTCCAGCCCGGAGCCCCTCAGGAGAAAGGCCTGACAGTTGACTTTTGAAGAGTCAACCCCAGGAAACCCTACGAGGTGCCGTTCGACACTGATGACGCACGGCGTCCGGAACTGACTGTATTGCAAGTGGTCATTGGCTTCATTGTGATTGGTGGGATGAAATTAGGTAGATTTCTAGCGCGGCAGTTAACACACTGAAATATAATGCTTCGGACACCAAGACTTCCCTGTCCAGCTAGAATCCAAACATTTGGGGGTGCAGTTCAGATGACACTGCACAACAGAAAACTAAATGTGGGATGGGCCTCTTGCTCGGTTGGTTGGTTGGTTTTTCGGTGTTGTCTGAAGAGATGCTGTAACATCTGTAAGATTTATGACCTAGCTGGGCCACGCCACCTTTCTGCCTCTTCTCTCTGCACATCCAGTCTCTCCCTCCGTGTTTGTCCGCAGAGCGCCTGGGCTCTGGCTGCACGGTGATGCGTTCGGCGTAGGTTGAGCCATTGTCACTTTGCTTTGAGGGGATGATTTCACCCTCTTCCTGATCTAATCGTCTTTCCAATACAAGTCTCTGCGCCGGCTTAGTTGGTGGCAGGGCAGTGCCAGAGCAGCACTTCAGGAAGGAGCCAGGTGTCATGGGAAGCTGGCTCCTCTCAGCCCCTCCGAGGTGGATTCAATGTCCTCCTTCCTCTCAGCCTCTCATTAGTGTCCCTGACATCGTGCCAAGAGTGTTGATTGAAATCGACTCTCCGGATACCGGTGCTCATTTGTGATGCCCCCTGGTCCTCTTACGTGTGCACACAGTTAACGGAATCTTTCTCGGCTGCTTTCCCAACTGAGATGAGATATTTGGGAATCAAGTAGAGCATTTAATGTAATAAGTGGACAGTAATCTTTAGAGGTTAATTTATTTAAAACCTATGTAAGGTTGGGGTCCCATATGCCCTATTAGGAGCGAGGACCATTATAATCTATTACTGTTTAAAGTTGAGCTAGCACATAAATTTTAATTCTCTCTGAAATGAAGATGTATCTCCGTAGATGTAATGCTAAAACTGTCTAACGATGCTCTCATCAGGAAATTCAACGAGCTCTTCAGCCTAAAGCAAACATTTTTCAGGATGGTCTATTTAAAATGAAAAGAACTCCCACGTTAAGAAAATGGGGAGGGTTTATTGTTTAACCTACCCCTTTGGTGAACAACAACAACAACAACAAAAACTGTTTGCACCTTGTAATCAGTTGTGCTGCCTTTGGAAGTTGGAAGATAATCAGTAGGCTTCACGGAAGGGCTCAAGGTCAACTGTATGTCTCTCTATATGGACTGTGCCCCCTGAAGTTTAGAAAGTGCTGGCGGATGTGCCCTTAAAGCCTGCTGTGGAAGTCAGCTTGTTCCCCAAGTTCAGCCTTTCAAAGGCCTTAGAGGCACCGCACCCAATGTCGCAAGGTTTCTTGCCTGGCACCCACTCTCAGCCACCCAGGGAGAACAGAGTTAGCTCTGGGGACTGAGCTTCCAGGCTCACATCCATTACCACAGGGCTGCGTCGTGGTGGCGAGTGAGATGGGAGCTCTATGGTCAGTGCTCTCCTTTCTTTCTCGGAGACTCCCAAGGCGCAGTGGAAATCCGAGAGAATCTGCTCTGGGATTGAACTGTGCAAAGAACAGATTTTTTTTCCCCCCTTTCTTTCCATTTTCATACCATGACGAGATGGAGTGTTCCCTAAAAGGATAAAGGGACCAAGTTTGAGCTTTTTTTTTTTTTATCAGGGCAAAGACATTTACATTCTCCTATTTTACAAATGCAAAGAGCAGGCGAGCCACTTTCAATAATTTATTTTAAAATCAATGCTAATGAGGTTATGTCTTGTCGGTGGCCGAGTTTTACAATAAAGTCTGATTTATTTAGAAAAGATCTTTGGTGTAACTTCCCATCTAATGGTGGTGGGAAGGAGGTGGAGTAGCAGGCTCCGTGACCCTCCAACTTCGGATCCAATTTGTAATTCACAGCGGAGATCTGACCCAATTTACATTGATTAGAATTGGGAGGAAGAGACAGCTGCGCACAGACAGCAGAGGTAGAATAGACCCTGTGAAAGTGCCTAAGCACAGCAAATTATTGGTCCTTGTGATAGAGTTGTTTGATATCAGCAAAAGGGCTGCTCCCTGTCCAAGGGATTGGATATCTCTAGAACTGAGAGTGTGCCAACTCTTGTTTTAGTGTTCTCCAGCCTGTGAGATGTGTCTCATCCTGAAAGGGGGGTGCGGGGAGCACCATAGCAGTGGAAGGGAAGACGCAGACAAATAAGAAGAAGACGGTGTGCAAAGAATGAGGTTCCGTGTGGTTTATTTCTTGATTTATGCTTGATTCCATCCCTCCATCGTCTGCAGCTTCGTTCCCGAGGGGTAGGGAGAGTACTACTGTGGTGAGCTGGGATGAGTTCTTGCTGCTAGGTGATCCATGGAGCTAGGGTAGAGTCAGAAGGCTCCATTTCCCACAGCATCTTACGGAGCCACAAATATCTGTTCTTTGATCTTGTTAACAGGCTAGTGATTTTCCCAGAGGACCCATTCTTTGATTTTTATTTTTTTCGGGGAACACTATTCTTTTAGGCGAAAGCACATCCTTCTAAAATGAGAATGTTCTAACATTTTTACGCCATTTCTTCTTACCTATGAGCTTGGAGTTCACATACCCCAGGCTGACAGACTAGACCCCACCCATAGAGCTCTATAAACCTTATATTTAAAAAAGATTAAAGGATGCCATCTCCTTAGCTATGCCAATCCAGTGGCATAGCCAAGGGGAAGCAAGACAAGACAAATGCCCTACTAACCCAAGAAGAGAAGGAAACAAATATGGGCAGAGGAAACTGAGTCTCCAGCCCTCCCCATATGCTTATCCTCCCCTCTCCACGGTGTATGTGTGTGTGTGTGTGTGTGTGTGTGTGTGTGTGTGTGTGTTAGAGGATGGTGCTGCTGGGGGAAAAATAGTGAATGTGGTTTTTGTTCATTTTCTTCTATGTATAAAATAGCTAGATCATATTTCTTTATAAAGGCCCAATATCCATTTTTATCAGGTAATATGAGGTCTCAGATAAAGCAGGTTAGTGACGGTAAGAAATATAGGCCAATCATGTTGTGGCTTTTACCATATAGCCCTGGAATCAGATTTAGAATATAGCATTGACTTCGAACTCATAGTGTACCTACAGCAATTAATTAAAAGCTCATTCCAACTGCCCTCAGGAACTTACACTCTAATGAACCAGGCGGGCTGAATAACAATAACAAAGAGATAGTTAAAAGCCCCAAGTACTAGGAACATAAAATGATGTACATGACTAGCCTCAGCTACAGCTGAACAAAGATTGATACATTAAGGGCTAATTAATCACAGAGGTTTAAATATGTGCTTCCCATAAAATACACACACATCCTAACTATGGAGCGCCTCAAACCAGAAAGGGTGCTTTCATGGAGACGGTGAATGTTGAAGAGAATCTGGGGTGGGAGAAATAGGGATTGAGAAAAAGGATTAGGAGAACTTTCTGGTGATTCAAACCCTCACTGCTATCAAGTCCGTTCCAACTCATAGTGACCCTCTAGGTAAGGTGACCAGACGTCCCGCTTTTGGCAGGACAGTCCTGATTTTTAGCAGTTTTCCCCCCCGCATTCCCCAGCGTTTTTAAAAAGTCCTGATTTTTTGAAAGAATGCAAGACAAGCTAGGGTATACGGTTTTCGGCTGCCATGTGGCTATTTCACCAGGATATGAGTTTTATCAATGGTGTCCCGCTTTACCAATGTTAAAATCTGGTCACCTTACCTCTAGGACAGAGTGGAACTGCCTCTGTAGGTTCTAAAGACTGTTACTCTTTCCAGGAGTAGAGAGCCTCGTCTTTCTCCTGAGGTACAGCTGGTGGTTTCGAACTGCTGACTTTGTGATTTGAAGCCCGACTCATAACCACTATGACACCAGGGCACCTAGGTGATCCAGATCAATTAGAAGCTTCACTAGGGCAGGGCCTCTACCAGTCTCTGCCTCCCCCGTCCTGGTGCAATTATTGCGTTGCAGTCCCCTAAGCACTTAAACATGTTCGGAAATGAGTGAATGGGAACAGAAGGAGAAGAGGGTGAGTCTGCAGGTGAGAGATGATGAGGAAGGAGAGAAAGTCCATCACAGTCACACGTTGCTGCAAGAAGAGACGTGATGAGCTCCATTAGGGGAAGCAGCCCATCAGTGTAAAAGCCATACAACTGCCAACAGCCCATAGCTCATGCTGATCATTGTTATCCCTCCACCCCCCCAGATGAAGAGCAGGACCTGGATGAGGACGAGAGTGGCGCCCGACAGAAAGGAGGTAGGAGAGCTTTGTGAACAACCACACCAGCACTGGGTAAGGTGACCAGGCTTCTAACTGGAGAAAGCCAGTCCCCAAGGCTAACGCATCACCGGGCTTCCTCGTGAAGAGGGCACGGGCGTGTTGACCCCACACAAAAAAGCAGCCACCCCGTCCAATTTACATGATGCTCCCAGAGCAGCTGAGATTTATCCCAGAGAGGGAGAGGCCAAACCAGGTATTTATTTTTTTCCTATCAGTATTTCTTAAATCAGCGCAGTGAAAATGGGATTGCCTCCTCTCAGAGATCTGAGGATTGAGCATGCGAAGAATGGAAATGTCTCCTAGCGGAGAGGTCTGGAGATTACCAGTTCAGAGGGGAATGGAATTGTGTCAGCGCTGACGGGGACACGGGGTGAAGGATAGAGGGCCTGGGTGAGGCTGGCTTCTGATGGCCTGGTTGGATTCCGGGCACATTTGGAAATGAATATGTAACAGGTCTGTTGAATACAAAATTACATCTTATTCATCCCAGACTGTTAGCCATGCTGCAGGCTGTGAGTGAGCCCATTGTTTCTGAAGGCCGATGTCCCTCTAAGGCCGCCTCAAGTTGGTAGGAAACCCCACCAAGGACCTGCTCCCCCTTTGTCAGAGACGGAATGCTGTGGGTTTCCGGGGCCACCGCATGGACAGTCATTCCAGCAGCAGGGTCCAAAACGTAGCTGATTTAGTTACTAGTTGATTTTTTTTTCCCCTAGAGATTCTGTCAAATCGTAAGCCTAGGAGTTCTTATTTCTCTGGCCCTACCTTTGCCCCTCCTCCTCCTTTCCTTCTCCTTTCCCCAAAGTGCCCTCCCCTACCCCGCCCCCTGCCCCCCTTTCCTGGCTCATCCTCTATAGGAAGTGGACACTGGGAAGGTTTAGGGAAGGGCTCCTACCCCCGTCGAATGGCAGCTCAGAGGTCCTGTGTCAAAGGAGGGAAAGCAAGCCAACGAGGCGCGTGTGATGTAGAGAAGCCAGTGTCGCTTGAAGTCCTTCATCATAATTAACACATACAATTAAGCCCATTTCGAAGATGATTTAGGGACCCAGAATCCTTTAGCCCAGTGTTTCCTGCTCACTCGATAGAACTCCAGCAGAAGGTGTGACCAGCCTTTCTTCCCCTTAGGTCTTTTCTCAGCTAAGCCCCATCGCTGGAGCAGACCAAGGGGACAGCTTGGGTGGCATACCTGTGAGACTCCTCTGGCTGGTTTTCTGTAAATCCCATTCAGGAAGCAGCAGACTTCTGGCGAAAGTCTACAGCTCAGTTTGAGGACAACCCCCCCCCCCCCCAATCTCATATCCTCCTTCCACTTCTATCTCTGAGGTTCTATCTGGGGAGTGAGGGGAGATTTATTTCTGACCTGTCCCAACAGCCATAATTCAAGTGGCTTTAAAAAAAAAGAAAAGAAACCCTTCTGTTCCCCATGCTTCCTGACTCCAAAATAGGTGTTGCTAAGTGTAGGGAGCTCTAAAGATGTTCCAAATATGGTGTATACCTCCCACCATTACAATGATGGGTGACTTAGGGATTCAAAACCAGGAGGGTTTTCCCGGCTCTCTGCAGAATCTGAGGTAGGGGTTTTTATTATTTGTGTTTGCTTATTTATTTCTTGAACTTATACAGTTCTCCCAAAGAACTATAGAAACAGCGACAAGTATGTAGCATCCACATGTCTTGCCTTCTCTTTCTCACAATACCGTAGAGAGGCCTGGGAGAAGGGCAGGGAGCCCCCTGAAGGCATATAAAAACATGGGGCTCTAGGCCCTCGGTGAATTCTTATGTCATAAGCAGCTCAACTGCGCTTTCTTTTTCTCCAGTGATACATGTTTGAGGCAAAACATGTACAAGCCAGTTGTCCTTTCCCCTCTTCTTTGCTCCTAGAAGGGACTATGGTTAGCCCTTCCATATGGCCCCACCCTCCGTGGGTCCTGTTCCCTGCATGCTGTGCTTTTTTCCCTAATGGAGTTGTTAACATTTTCAGGCCCAACTAGATCTTATCAGAAAGAAGGGGGGAAGGAATTCAGTGTATCCTTATTGGGTGTTAATGACCCTGTAGGATATAATTTCTTTTATTTTATTCTGTTACCTAGAAAATCTATCACAACCTTGTAGTATTGATTGTTCAATCTATAAAGAGCTCAGTTTACAGCGGGACTGTCAGTAACAGGCTTATTTTAATAGGTGGCTCTTCAACACCTCAGATTGTCACTAAATTCCACCCCGTTAGTTTAACACTCTTCCACTACTGAGGGTGGCCAGTGAGACAACTACTGGGGGCTTCTCTCCCTCCCTGATCATGGAAAGGTAACGTCCGGGTAACCACGATTGAATACAACCCACTGTGAACAATTATTTGCCATTTGCCTAGATGTATCATATTGGACCAAAAAAATCATCTGAAAACATCTCTAGGTGTGTCAGAACTCAGGCCAAGGCAGATTTCGAAAGACTGTTTTTGCTGGGATATTGTTGGCATACTCAGCCAAAAAGGAGCCGAGGTTTTTGTAGAGGATAGCAACATGGTTGTTTATAAGCATTACATCTTTGAAGGAGGCTCCGCCTTAACCCAGTTGTTGTCCAATCAGCTCCAACTTGAGGCAGCCCTACCTGAGGCCGTGCAGCGCCATGCTCTATAAGCTTGTCCAGGACCCGCTGTTTTTGGAAGAAGGTTGCCATGTCTTTCTTCCGAGGCTCACCTAGGTTGCTTCCAGCTGCCATCCTTTCAGTGAGCAGTGGAGCGCATTAATGGTTTGCATTCCTTTCGCCGCCAGTGCCCAGCAGAGTAATCAATCATTACACTACGGAAGCATGCGGGCAATGTGGTGCTACCTCAAGCAACTGGAAATAGAAATGCCATACGACCCTGCAATACCTCCATCGGGCATGCACCCTAAAGAAGTAAGAGCCACAACACAGACAGTATGCTCTCCACGTGGTGTCCATCCTAGCAGTGTTCACCAATAACAACAAGCTGGAAATACTCTAAAAGCCCACCGGTAGAAACATGGAAGCTTTCTAAGCTAGCTTGTGGTCTCTGCGCTTCCACGATGGCACGCAGGGGCCAGAGCCAGCAAGTGCGGAAGGTGATGGTGCAGTCCGCCAATGATCTCATCTTCATATACTTTCAAGATAGATCCGGGATTCCGGTGTGGCTCTGTGAGCAAGTGAACATGCAGACAGAGGGTTTATCGTCAGCTTTGAAGAGAATATGAACCTTGTATTAGATGATACAGAAGAGATTCATTCTAACAGTCAAGAAGGCAACTGGGTAAGATGGACCGCGCTAACAGGAGATAGCATTACTCTGCTACAAAGTGTATCCAACTAGAAATGACCATTGAAGTGAGAAGGGGAGGGCACTAGTTCCCCCACCCCCCTTTTCAAGTGTCCTCGGTTATGAATATGCTTCTAAAGCATGCGCTCATATCGTTTTCTTGACCTTTTTGTTCTTACTGCACCACAATCAGTGGTCTCTGTGGGAGTGTCTTTATTTTTTTAAATAAAGGATTAAGAAGTTTGGGGACATCCACACAACAGAATTCTATGCATCACTGAAAACCGATGGTGAGACCATGAGCCCCCTCACGTCATGGACAGACCTGGAGAACATGATGCTGAGTGAAGTTAGTCGGTGATTAAAGGACAGACATTGTAAGAGACCACTACTGTAAGGACAGTAATCCAGACAACGATTTCCAGACCCAAGAGAACAGATTTTTGAGGTTCCCAAGAGAGGGAGCCCTGGTGGCTAGTGATTATGTGTTGGACTGCTAGCCCCAAGGTCAGCAGTTCTAAAGCACCGACCGCCCCGTGGGAGAAAGACCAGGCTCCCTACCCCCATGAAGAGTGACCATCTCAGAAATTCACAGGGGCAGTGCCACCCTGTTCTGTAGGGTGGCTATGCGCCAGCATGGACTCGTGGCTGTGAATTTAGGTGTTGGAGGGAGTGAGGGCAGAGGTGAGAGGGTGAAGCAGAGGGTGGAGTATTGACAGTTATTGACTTGGGTGAAGGGGAGGACGGAGGTCTTATAAGAGGGAGAGGAGAAACTGGGGTGGTAAGGCGAGTGGGGGGTGGGTGTAGGATCAGGCAGGGGCTAATGAGTGGTTTGAACTGTTGAGTGCAGAGTTGATGGTCTGAAATGTAAATCGCCCACCTCATTCACAATAAACAGATTATATAAAAAGAAGCAGCAGAGGGACTTCAGGGAAGGTAATCGCAACCCTTGCCTTTTGAAAAATGTTGATCATCCAAAGTGAAAACGGAACTCACTGCTATGGAGTTGATGTTGCCTCATAGGCACGCCCTGGGGGTTCTGAGTCAGTAACTGTTTAGGGGGCTAGAAAGCCAGTCTTTCTCCCACGGAGCTGCTGGTGGTTTCAAACTGCTGACCATGCAGATCGAGGGCTGTGGGAAACTAGCAAATGTCATTCCCACAGATTCTCCCCCAACGGCTACGCTGCCTTAAAGTGAGCACATGGTTGATTCTGTCTCCCTGTAGAAGCAGACATTCTTTGATTATCTCCTCCCGCCAAGCCACCCATCCCCACTCAAGTCTTCCCCCAATGCAGGTATTGGGTTTCCTCACCTGTGAGCTCAGGGACTTTACTGTGCTTACCGCCCACCTTGTGACGTATGTAACTCCTGAATATGCATGACTAACGGCTACCTATAAAAGCCCCAAAACAATAAAGACGCTTTCTCCTCTGGTCCCCTCTCCTCCAGTCCCCTCGCCTCTGGGCTCCCTTCCTTCCCTCTCCCTCCTTCCCTCCCCACCCTCTTCTGCCCTCTCCTCCTCCCACATCCCCACTTGGACCACCAAGAAGGGCTGAGGTGCACATGCTACCATGAAATGTGTCTGACTCTCTCTCCCATCTCTGTTATTCTCTATGGCTTTACGTTAATCTTTATATATTATAGCCGTACAATTGCACCTACAAACCCATGATAGTTGTTGGGGATGGTCTCCCCCCAGAGCAGCCCAATGTGTAGGTTGATCAGCAGCAGCTAAAATTTTTGTCCAATAAGAAAAGCAAATGAGATGAAAAGATGAATCTCTGACCAGTCTTCACTTCAAAATCTTGATACATCATTAAGGACTATAATAATTCCAAAACTCAAGGCCATAGGACCCTGAAAATGTGCAAATAGCACTGCTTGGTTGTGCTCACTTCCTGCACTAGTGCCAGGAGCTGCAGGAGCTGGGTGACCCTTGTAGACCTTCCCTTCAGAGGGCATCAATGAGGTGTCATTTAGAAGATGCACTTCTTTCAGGGCTCTTCCAGTGGAGCCCCTGCTTGGCCTGCTTGGTTCCCAGGGTCACCCCCCTCGCTCTGGCAGGACTGGCTCCCCGTGTTCTCCTTTGCTCGCTCCCTCCCATCATTTGTTAAGTGGCTGTACCCCGTGCCAAGCCTTGTTGGCACAGTCATTTTGCTCATCAAGAAAATGTAAACAGCCTGCTAGCTTGCCCTTAGCCTCTTTTCTCTGGTCACAGCTTGAATTCTGGAGCTGCTTAACCTCCCAACCCAAACTCCAAGGTGACCGAGGACCATAGAAAGGAATACAGTCAGGCACCGTTGTCCCTCGGGAGGAAGGGAGACCAAGAGGCCTGGCCTTTTCCTTTCGAACAGGCCACATCATGGAGACGACTCTCAAACACTGACTCAGTCAATAGCCACACCAGCTTGGCCCCAGTTACAGGAGAAACGACTGTTCCTGGTTATAAAGAACTTGGCATCGGATGACAGATGATCTGCAATAAACGCCTAGAAGAGAGAGAAAATACCGGTTTAGCTTGGTTTGTTGCTATTCCTCCTGTGCCATTGCTTGCTTCAAGCTGAGTTTCTCTTACATGAGATAAAGCTACAGACTAAGCTATTGCCACCCCCACCCCCACTTTTTCTTTCCCCTCTAGAAAAAAAGCCTTTCTCAGCTCTGCTCGCAATTTAAATGCAGTGATCATACCCATTAGCTTCTCTATCATTGTAATTGTTGTTAATTGTTATAACTGTTTTAGTTATTAGTGGTGTCTTATTGCTCTAGGTCCTCTGTCTGTTTTATGCTGAATATATTAGTACTTTGCTTTGGAATTGCCAGGCTTTATTTAGTGCAGAGTTACGGTTTTTCGTTTTGTTTTTTGGTTGGGTTTTTTTTTTTGAGAGACATTGAGAAATGCTGGCATTAAGCTTTATTCTTTTGTTTTTCATTCCAAATGGACAGACTGGAAAAAAAAATAATTAGATGGAATAATGTCCTCAAAATGAGAATGAGGATGTTTTTGAATTAATTAAATGGTCAGGATGCTTGGCCATTTCTGATCTCAGACGGCTGCCAGAGAAGTATAAACCTCAAGATCCCAGCCCAGCCTGCAGGGCAAGCTTCTCCCACAGACTCTCCCCACCCCCC